CAAATTTGTTTAAAAAAAGTTCTTATTGGTTTCACCAAAACTCCCATAGATAAGGCTGAGAGGCTGCTAGCTGAAGCAGCTTCATATGGTGCACAACTGGTTGTGTTTCCGGAAGCGTTTATAGGTGGTTATCCACGTGGGTCAACCTTTGGTGTCTGCATAGGCAATCGTTCAGCGAAGGGCAAGGAGGACTTCCGGAAATATCATGCTGCTGCCATTGATGTGCCAGGTAAATTATGTTTCCTTCCCTTGAGACAATTGCCATTTTGCAAGAAATTAGCAGCAGGAAGCTGTTATGTGGAAAGGAGCAGTGTGCTTCTGTTGATGTTACTGTTGAATTTGGAAGATGGAATGGCCTGGCGGGTGGAGAATAACACCACCCGCCAGTTAGGCGGAAGCAATAATGAAGAATCAAAGAATAGAAAATGTATATAAGACTGAAATATATTAGTATTATCTGTGTTTCTAACAAAGAAACAGTACATATATATATATTCAAACACATAACTGTAAGTAACTACCCATAACTAACACCTATTCATAAACAGACACAACCCTATAGATATGCCTAACTCTTTATTTTTCAACAGTTACAATGGAGCAATTGAGCTTCACAACCTTGACTCCTATGAGAAAATATACTTGCATAGGAGAACTAAAATCTGAAGTTTGGAAACTTAAAACTTGTGCGGGTTGAGAATATATTTTGCGAAATTATAAGGCCCTGCTAAACATATGCATACATCTTTGGTGGCCTCCTGAACTTGACCTACGGGCATCTATCTTCTGATGATAAGTAAATAATGGATGCCTTTTCTAATGCTTTGGTGGCTGCTTCTTTTCCCATCTGTGTCCTTGTTCTCTCTCATAGACACTGATTGCAGGTCCTGAAGTTGATCGATTGGCAGCAATGGCGGGAAAATATAAGGTGTATTTAGTTATGGGTGTTATTGAGAGAGATGGATATACACTTTATTGTACAGTTCTGTTCTTTGATTCTCAAGGTCGTTACCTTGGAAAACATCGGAAAGTAATGCCAACTGCACTGGAACGTATTATTTGGGGTTTTGGAGATGGATCAACAATTCCAGTTTTTGAGACCCCGATAGGAAAAATTGGTGCTGCAATTTGCTGGGAGAACAGAATGCCACTTCTGAGGACTGCAATGTATGCTAAAGGTTAGTAACGTGGATGCAGTTACAGTGAAGCGTATTGTTTTTTTTTGAATGCTACTGACTCTATTACAATGTAGTATCTGTTCATCACTACTTTTTCAACCTACTGAAGCACAAAGAGTCAATAACGCCTCTACTGAAGCGTATTGTTTTTAAAATTTCACATTTTAGGTGGATGATAGATAATCTTAGTTTACTAGCCTTCCCCGTCACCCTACTTTTGGCATATTTATGGCTACATTACTTGTGAATTCTAGGCATAGAGATATACTGTGCCCCTACCGCTGATTCCCGGGATGTGTGGCAAGCATCCATGACTCACATTGCCCTTGAGGGCGGGTGTTTTGTTTTATCAGCCAACCAGTTCTGCAGAAGGAAAGATTACCCGCCTCCTCCAGACTACATCTTTTCTGGCACAGAGGAAGAGCTGACCCCGGATTCCGTTGTTTGTGCTGGTGGCAGCGTCATCATTTCGCCGTCTGGAACTGTGCTGGCGGGACCAAATTACGAGGGGGAGGCACTCATCTCCGCTGACTTAGGTACATTACTGGCTTAATTATACCATTCCATTTAGTATGGAGTTAATACCTCCAATGGTCCTCCGAGTATTAGGGGTTTACCAGTTGTGGTCCTCCGAGTTTTAAACGACCTCCAATGGTCCTCTATGTTTTAAAAAATAACCACTCGTGGTCCTAATTCTTAAAATAACCCGAGTTTAAAATGACCAAGAGACGTCCTAAAAGGACCACGGGTGGTTATTTTTTATAAGATGGAGGACCATTGTAGGTCATTTAAAACTCGGAGGACTATAGCTGGTAAACCCCTAATACTCGGAGGACCATTTGAGGTATTAACTCATTTAGTATGTGTGCTATTGTGCATTATCAATTATTGTCTGTTAATATTCAACATTTTTGTTTGTTTGTCTGTCTAATGATGCCTATGATCTAATCTCACGGTTCACAGATCTCGGAGAAATAGCAAGGGCGAAATTCGACTTTGATGTGGTCGGGCACTACTCGAGGCCAGAAGTTCTGAGCTTGGTCGTGAGGGATCATCCATTGAATCCCGTAACTTTTACATCTGCATCAAACAAAGCGGAAACCTCAGCAAAGTAAGATGGACTACTAGCATATCGATCTAACAAGCCAACAGGCGCTAGATCTCTGCATCGATGACATGTCTCCGGTTTCTGTGTTCATGCACCATGTACATTATTGAAGAGTGAAGACCATCTATTCTGCTGGCTCATTCATTGTGCTAATACTTTGTTTATCAATAATTCTCTGAATATTTAATTTCAATGAAACCTCCAGACTCCAGCCTGTTGTTTAGTTCTTTTCATTTCTAGGTTCATCCTTTCTTGACATCCTGCCAGATTTAGTCTCAGATACTCCTTTTATTCCCTTCTTAATGACTTTTGGAGTTTTGGGTCCAGTGAATCAATGGAAGGATAGGGATGAAAATGTCTAAAATAAAGCAATAAATCATATAGAATATTGAACACACAAAAAAAAATAGCATATGACATGGTGCACCCATAAGACAACCCATAGTATATTAACCTCGTTCGTGCGGTAGGACTTTAAGGGTAGTAAAGTACTTTTTTTTTCCCGAGTTTTAAAGTAGCTAAATTTTGGTGACGAGGGAAATTTGCATTCACTATTTGAAGTTGTGTACTTGGTAAATTCCGTCTTGTGACCTAGGTTGCTCATAGCTTCTCCCAAAAGGTTGAATCCCCAATCCCAGGGGTCCCTCACATCCCGGCATGACAGAGCATTGGCTCGGCAAACAGGGTTGGTGCACACAATGGATCTGCCCACTTTAGGCATAATTTCCACATTGCCGCCATCGAGGTTCGAATCTTGGTCTCTTCTCCCAAATATTGCCTACTGAACCATTGAGCTAAGCCCGTGCGGGCTATGTTGCCCATAGATGACCAGCTCAAACCAAGAAAGTCAATATGTTACTCATGTAGTGAGTTGAACTTGTAATCTTATGTTATAATTGGTTATGCTAGAAAAGACTCTCAAATCTTGTTTGCTTGATGTGGTCTAAATTAATATAATTTTACTTTTTAACCCTTCCTTGTATGAAAAAAAAAAAAAAAAAAAAAAAAAGGACAAATGGAGAAGAATATACAAAATAATTTCATTTCTCTTGAAAAAGCTTTAAATGAACTGAGTGTCTTTGGTCTAAATAATCCAAGACAAAGCCATTATGTATGCCTTGGAAGAATTCAAACATGATCCCTACAAGTTTTCCTGGTGCCAGCCACAAACACAGCCAATGCCTATTTTGTGCAACCCATGCTGAACTGTTTGATTTAAGTACAGACATACACACTATCTTAGTGCGGCTGAACGAAAATAAGATATGCGATATGATAAAGATTATAAGATTCAGATAAGATATCTATGTATGATACGTCAATTTTTTCGGGATTAAGAAGTGTAGAGCTGTAAACATGTAGTATTTGACAAATAATGGAGAGGAATAAAGATGTGCTCTTGATTATATCTCACATGGCATTATTCCTCTGCAAGACACACATATTACTCATCAATAGTCAACAGGATTTTAGTCTCATTATTGAGGTTAAACAATTCAGAGTGTGTCCAATGGCCATATTACATTATTTTGACAGTATACTTTATATATGGTTGAATCATTTATTGATAAGCTTGTGCACATGGGGAGATCAATGAAATCCAAGGGTGGTGGGTGTTTGGTAATGATTGAGTAAAAGATCTTGTTTTGGTAAAACTGGCTAAAAAATAATGAACTCTTTTTCAAAAGTTACACCATTGTTTATAGTAATAGTAATCATCAAGATAACCTTGGTAATTACAAAGCTCCATATTTAATTCTTTGTGGGAGATGTTTATTGGCAGCTTTCTTGGTTTGAATCGGTTAACCATGAGCAAGCTAAGTTAGTTTACTGGTCACTTGTCAGTTAAGGTCACAAGACGAGCTTCACCCAAAGTGTCTTGATGGACACAAGTAAAAAATATAGAGATGGATTAACCATTGTTTATAGTAATAGTAATCATCACGATATTTTTAAATTAGCTTGGTAATTACAAAGCTCCATATTTGGCTCTTTGTGGGAGATGCTTATTAGCTTTCTTGGTTTGAATCGGTCATGAGCAACCTAAGTTGGTTTACAGTCACTTGTCAGCTAAGGTCACAAGGCCAGTTTCACCCAAAGTGTCTTGATGGACACAAGTAAAAATATATAGAGATGGATTCACAATGATTAAATGGGTGTTTACTACCTTTGAAGGATTCAACTAGAATCAAAAGTATAGTAACCCAATAGAGTAGCTCAAGTAGCAAATAAGCTTTCTTTGTGGAGAAGAATTTCGGGATAACTCGAGTTTGATTCCCACAAGACGATTCCTCCTGGGCCCGTGCCTCTCAGAGCGAGCTTACGACAGACGGATAAAGACCCAGATTTTTGCAATAAATTTCACAAAAGTTAAACTACTGTGGCCCTGTTTGGTAAATTGTTGTAACTAGTTGATTAGCTGTGCTGATTGTGTTAATTAGAGGGTATAACTAGTTGATAACATTAGCTGTTGTAGAAAAGTGTTTGGTAAATTAGCTGATAACTGTTTTGTATAATTTCTTTTTTGAAAAAGTTACTTGGAGTAGTTTTTTGAATTTTAGCATTTTGGAATTGCAAAAAGCTAATTAACCAAACATTTATATTGATATTTTAACTAAATCAAATAATTAATAGTAGTCAAATGGTATCCGGGTTGGACTTTCATTTGAAAGGTTGTAAGTTCGAGCATCAGTGGAGGTGTTATTAGCTCTCTGTGTTTCAGTAGGTTGAGAAAGTATATGAACAGATAATAGTAGTCAAATAAGGTAAAAATTCAAAATTGACCTATTAGGTCAATTTTTTTACCAAACGGAGCCTGTATCCCAGCAAAAAACTTAATAATAATTTCGATTCAAGTCTACTACCAAACAATTAGGTTACTTCTACTAAAATTCATTTAAATTACTAAATATTTGATTCTGATTCCTATTCCTGTTTTTAAACCAGACAAACAAATATCATTAATATCTGCTCCACTTCTTGACAGGAACACATATCAAACCTAAAGATTTTCCTAAGTCTTTCAGGTGACAAAATTCAACTCTCCAGAAAAGGTCTCACCTTGTTGAGGAGGATGACAATGAAAGCACCAACCTTTTCCCATGTCTGCGAAGCAAAATAATAAATAAAGAAATAAAATTAACCAACCATTTTCTGCCAAACACATCCTTAACTTCCCCAACTAAATCCACGTGAAAGTTTTTCCCTTTCCATCAATCACAGGTTCCTCAACTTTCCAAGAACCCCGTACTTGCAGGAAGAAACCATAATCTCAACTTTTTCCAAGCTCATGAGAATCAAACGTTTACCCCTATATCAAAAGTTTTAATTAATAAGAAAGACCTAACATACTTTCAAAAAAGGAAGACCTAACTTTACTTTTTTATATTTGTATTACGATCAAAAGTTATAGCTAGTAGTAAAATCGCAACTTTATTTCTTTAGAGCATCCTCGATTGTAGATTTTAGGAGGTTTTTTGTGGGGCCAAATGTAATGTAGGAAAGAGAGAAGATAAAAAGTTCTTTGAGGAAGAGTGGTTTTATGTGGGGGCCGCGTGAAGAGAGAAAAGGAAAAGGCATTCTTATTAACGGGTGTTCAACACAAGATGCGCCCCCACTGGGTGCGTGCACGGCAAGTGCCCCTGGGTGCATAAAAGCTTTTTTTTTAATTTTTTTTTTTTTTGCTCTAGCAGTTGTTTATTTATTTATTTATTTATTATTATTATTTTTTGTTTTTGTTCTCTCTCCTCTTTTCTTATAATATTATCACACATTTTCAAGAATTAGGGTGCTTGGCACTTACTGGCCTTCGCCCAACAACTTGCTTAACAGCCCAACTTTATTTCTACTTAGTAGAGCACCACGACTTTTCAATAACAGAATGCAGGACTCGACTCTCCTAACCTCAGCCCAAACACATAAGGCCATCCCCAATAGGGAATTTTGTACAGATTTTAAGAAAAAAATGATGTGTTGGAGAAGAGAGAAGGATGAGGTTGTTCTGTTAATTAGGGGATTTTGTCAGGGTTTGGGAGGGGGGGTGGTTTTTTCCTTTTCACTCATTTCTTTTTCCTAATCACATCTGCAAAATCTCCTCAAAATCCTACCACTATTGAGGATGCCCTAAGAAGTGAGTTGTCATTCATGAGCATGGCAACCTTGATTGAGACATCCATGGAACTTCCATGAACAACGTTGCATCATTATCAGATGTACACACAACTAACGTTATAGTGATGATGGAACGCCCCACAAACCACCTAGTTTTGTTTTCTGGTATGAGGACAAGGCATCTTGGGGGTGTCATGTGTCAACAAGTGATTGTCTTCAAGTGTTTTGGAGAGATATATATATAATAAATCTGTAAACTTTTCACTTCCCAGTAAAAAAAAAAAATAAAGTGGCAAACTTTGTACAATTCAGCTAAAAAAACAAACAGCAGAACACAAAATTTCTTTTTTTTTGGCTAACCAACCATCAAGAATGTGTGTTCTTGGGATTTGTAGGCAATGCAAATTGCAATAGACTTATAGACTATCCTTGTTAATGGTGGAAATAAACTTAATAAGAATTTGCTTCATTCTGCAATGATGCTAGGCTCGAGGGAGGCGAAAGTTTGATGGGTCCAGTTTTTGGAAGGACTAGTGAAGTCTTGGGAGGGGGTGGTTTTGGAAGCAGAAACTATGTGATCTCTAAGGTCTTTGATCATGTTGTATCTCTCGATTTCGTCTTCGTGTTCCCTTTTCCACGTCTCGTGGTCATACAAATGGGAGTATCCATTGCTATGAACCCCTTGGTTTTCTTTGCCCCCAGCTGAGAATTCCAAAACTATGCCTTCGGAGGTTTGTCTTTCCAGACAGATACTTTGTCTCGGGGGTTTTGCACAAGTGGACTTTCTCCCCGGTTTGGTTCGGTTTGAGTTGTTGTAAACCACGTTGCTCCATTCGTAGCTCTTGCTGTTATCATCCATGTTTAGTTCAATGGAGTGAAGGTCACTATCATCAGCTGAATCATCTCCGTCTTCTTCTTTGGTTTCTCGCTTCTCTTTGTCTTGGTAAATGAGGCCGGGGAGTGTTTCCCTTAAATGTTTCTCGAGAGCCTTGATTCGATCATAGTTTGGGGATTCACTGCCTTCTTCTCCTCTCTTGAACTTCAAATACGCCTCGAGCTCGGTTTTCAGCTCATCCACAGCTGCGTTTTTCTCCTCGAACTCGTACTTAGCTTCTGACAGCTTCATCTGAACTCTTTCCTCGCGCAACACATCAGCTAGCTGAAGCATTTCCCTTTCCTTTTCCACCTCCTCGCGAACCTTAGCTGATTCCCTCTTTAGTTCCTCCACCTCGGCCCTATCTTCCCCGATACCTCTCGCCAATTCGTCACACACTTGCTCCAATATTTCCCTCGCCCTCCTCTCACTCTCGAGCTCTTTCGTTGCCTTTGACACACTTGCCTTTGCATCAGCCAATTCCCTCCCGAGCTTCTTGTTCAGCCTCTCGGTCTGTTTTCTCAGCTTCTTCTCGGTCTTGAGCTCCCCGGCAATAGAACTTTGAATCCTGTCTTGCTCTTTAATCTTCCAAACCGCTTTCTCCTCCTCAAACTGCTTCAACACGAAATCAATGTCTTTCTGTTCTTGGATCAACTTAGTCACTTGAGCACACGCCCGATCAAGCTCCGTCTTGAGGGCTGCAAATAGGGACAAACAAGTAGCCTGCTGCTCTTCTAGACCCCAAACCCGACTCAAAACTTTGAGCAGCTCTTTCGAGGTCGTGAGGCCATGGCGAACATCCTTCAATCGCTGTCTGGTTTTCGAATTCCCATGTGGTTGTGGTTGTGCCTCATCAACCTGCATATTCATCAACACCAACAAAAACGAGCTCACCTTGGTGGATTATTGATTGGTTAAATTTTTTTTAGACACAAACCTTAAATACTATCTGTAACATGACAAGCAAAAACATCAAAAAACAACATGAGATGTTGGCTCTGATGGAAGCGAAATCAGAACCAGATCATGTTCACTGTTCCTTCCCACGTACAACGTATTTGTCCATTTCTTCCTATTAGTCACATATCAATTTCCTTTTTCATACTTAAATGGTGAGCTCCAAACATTCATCCCCCAATCCCCGATCGAAGAAAAACCAGAAAGGACTAATGAAACGAACAATCAGACACTGACCATGAACATTATGGGTAGCATTAAACCTTACCATATTTACTGAACTGCACAAAATAGATAAGAGAATCTGCCTGGGGGAATTGAATTTAGATATTTTTCTCTATGTTTCTTATAAAAACATTGAAATATTTGAGTTTAGCAGGAAGCAACTACCTCCATCAGACAAACACTTTGCAGTGAATGAGCAGGTTGCAGAATCTTCTCAGAACCTGCTGAAGCTCTTCTTCTATGGCTGCCCACTTTAGATCTTTCCATTTCCTGCTAAACCCAACACCAAAAGCTTTTGAATACAATCAAGAATTTAAGAATTTAAGAATTAAGAATATCCCTTAGAACAAGATTTAACAAATCTTGATAACTCAACCAATCAATTGGATGATAAAAATTTAAGAAACCAAGAAAAAATAAAAAAAGAAGCAAGAATCTTCCCAAGAAAAAAAAAAAAAAAAAAAAAAAAAAAGTCACTCTCCCCACCTCAGAAACAGGGCTATGAGAAGGATGAGACAATTGCAGAGGGAGTGAATTTGAAGCCAATTTGGATGACTTCAAACCCCTTCCTTTCCTACCACTCTCTCCTTCTTCACTCATCTTCTCCACATTCTCCTTTCCTCTAAGGGTACTAACCCCATTGATCTCCCACAAAGTAGCAGCCAATTTCCGCGCAGAAACCAAAAACTCTTTGCCCCTATCACCACCATTCCCCTCCAAATACTTACACGAATTAGCGTTATTTTGCGATGCTGGTGATGTCGAAGCATCCATCATCTTCCACATTGGCACCGGCGTGCTTGAACCCCCTCTCTTCCCTACTAACACAGCCCTTTTTAGCCGATAAGTCCTCACCAATGAAGAAGAAGAAGATGATGATCCTCCCCTCTTCCTCACCTTGCAACTCCTCCCATTTCCTCCATCCCCATTCAAACTTTGCCTAGGCATTTCCTTCTCTTTTTCTCTCCAATTTATATCTATACCCAAAAGTGTTACAATCCAATAAAATCTGACCACACTACTATTATGTATATGTTCAATGGGGACCAAGAATCTACCTTGTACTGCTATGCTTATAAATAGTACACTACAAGGTTAAGGTTGCTGAATCATTGAATCAAAGTCAAGATTCATTCAAGGTGATGAAAACTATGAAAGTGTTTGAAGTTTTGCAGATCTAAAGGCAAACACATTAAAGGGTGGTGTGCAAAGGGGTTCCTAGATAGAACAACAAGCTAAGCTGGCAACTCTTTTGCTTCGCACTTCGGATCTGTTTTTTGAATTTATGTGGTAGGGAAAAAATATAACTGTCAGGGTATAAAGATTGTTTCTTTGTGCTTTCCACCAGTCAAAAAAGAAGGGAATAATCAAACCCAGAAAAAGAAAAAGAACAAATTGAGAGGAACCAGGAAAAAAAAAAAAAAAAAAAAAAAAAAAGAGAAGAAAGAAAGAGAGAATCTTGATGAACGTACCCCCTTTGCTTGCCTTTAGTGCATATATGGAAGATTTGGAGAATGATTGGCATGCAAATTAGAGCTTAAAGTTTGTTTTGGCCTTTGTTTCAAACTCCCAGAGAGGGAAAAGCAGAGAGAGGCATGGAAGAGAGAGAAAGAGATGGCCAAAAATGGTGGTTGGCTTCAAAACTTTGATCTTTGGGGAGGAACACACACACAAAAACAAAATGAAGGAAAACGGGAGAGAGAGTTGAGGAGTGAATGCTTCCTTCTCTTTACATGGAAAGGGAAACGTTTTGGCGGGGGTGGGGATTGGCTTCCAAGCCTCAAAGGTAAGGGATTTAATTTATTTTTTTTAAAGAATATTGGACAAATAAAAAGAAAGGAAAAAATTATTATTAGTTTATAACATTGAAGTTGCAATCACTATTTGAGGGTGTTATAATCACTTTTGTAAAAATCGGTTTAGGCACTCTTAAACCGTGACGATTTTTCCCTAAGAGCATGCCTTGGTGATTAGCCGCCTAAGCGTCCGCCTAGCGCCTAATTCGGCCAACTTGACCTCCTAGCATTTAACTTAGCCGAGTTAACTCGTCCATTTCGATCGAGTTAATATGTTTGAGTCTTGTGGCTTCCTGTGTGATTGTGTTAAAAGTCACGCATATTAAGCACAAATCTCTCGCATATTAAGCACAAACCTCTCGCACATTAAGCACAATACTCAGGCACATTAAGTACAAAACTCATGCACATTAACATTACACACTCATGCATATTAAGTACAAATCTCAGGCACATTAAGCACAAGACTCACGCACATTAAGTATAAAACTCACGCACATTAATCAACCGCACAACCGCACGGGAAGCCACAAAGGCACTTGATCCCTATATATATAGGGTCAGGTTCCTGTGAGGTCAGGTCTTCCCGTGCGGTCAGTGCGGCATGCACCATTAGGTATGCATAAATGCATCATACAGTGTTCGAGAATACACCATTATGTGTGGTGTATTTTTTTTTGTGTGGTGTACTTTTTGCCATTTCATTCTGGTGTATTTTCGAACACTGTATGGTGCATATGCATTCCTAATGGTGTATGCCGCACTGACTGCACGTGAAGATCTGACCTTACAGGAACCAATATATATATATATATATATATATATATATATATATATATGTGTGTGTGTGTGTGTGTGTGTGTGTGTGTGTGTGTGTGTGTGTGTGTGTGTGTGTGTGTGTGTGTGTGTGTGTGTGTGTCTGTGTGTGTGTGTGTGTGTGTGTGTGACATATATACACCCGTAGACTAGTTTGATACTTTGAATCTTTGGATTATTGAAGTATTTGAGTATTTTTAATTTTTAATAGTGTTTTGATGTTATGACTTATGAATTATCATTATTTCATTTATTTGGATGTGTTATTTGATTGAATGTTGAAAACAGCCTCATTAAAATTGTCAAACTGCAAGTCTGCCACTATTTTTTTGGCGCCCCCTAGCGCCGCCTAGGCGCTAGGTGCTGCCCCGGCGCCCGACTAGCGTCTAGCGCCTACTGCAATCATGGTTATAATTTATAATAGTTCGTAAATTACACAACAAAATAAAATTAAACTTGTGACTTTCTGATAAGAGAGTAATACTACACCTACTCGGTTATTACTCTTTTGAGGAAAAATTATTATTATTATTATTATTTAAACTCCATTTGTTTAAATCTTGTCTAATATGGTTTTGTTTTTGGCTTCACAGTTTTGTTTAATATTTTTTTTTTTGGAGGGAAAAGGAAGGACAAAGTCCCGGCTAACAAAACAAACAGTCAATCTCCTCGGACACTCGATACCCCATTTGCATCTCTCTAGACACATCAAGAGTTCCAGTCAGACACATCAAGCCAAATCTGACCCATTATCCCGTTCCTAACAAGTTAACTGCAACTTGATTTTGTTCACGAAGAACATGGCAGCATTTATTATTCCAGTTTTTCCTCAAATGATAATCTCTAGCATGTACATACCCTCATATATAAACCCAATGATAACATTCTCATCAAGTTTAATATTTTAATGGTTTGGCAATGTTAAAGGTGTACTTCCACAAATTTTAAATATATAATGCAGTTCTGTATTAAAATTATAGAGTATATCATGATCATGTATAGTTGGGAAAAAAATGTTCTCAATCTAAGTTTATTTACTTTTGATCTTTCATTTTATAGTAATTTTTTTCTTATTTTTGTCATCCAAATTAATTTGTTTCAATTTTAGTAGTTTTAGCCGTTAACTCCAAATAAAATATATTTTATTTTAAAGTTAATAAAAGTAAAATTAAACTTCACTTTTTTAAAAGTTTAAAACTAACTGAATGGGAAGAGAACAAATCTTGGGAAAATTAATTTGAGGACACTCCAGAATACACAATAAAAGTTTAAACTAAATAAAAAGTGAAACAAATTAAAATTAATCGCCGCCAAAAAAAAAAAAGTGAAAATGAAACTATAGTTGAGGGTAAAAAATAAATAAAATATTCTCAATATTGAATGGAAATATTTTTACATTAAATTTGGATGTAAATGGTGTGATTTATGGTAAGTATCCATAAATGGAAGGGAAACAATAAACTTATTCTCAATGTGTAAAACGTTTATCACATGTTTTAATTCATTGGGAGAGAGAGAAAAAAAAAAAACAAAAAGTAAAGGGAAAAAATTACAAAGTTAATTTTTTATTTAGACCAATCTGAACATACTCACATACTAAGAAGTGGAGCGATCTTGAAGTTCCCATGCTTCGAGCTCGCAATGGAATGTGAGATGACTGCATGGTCATTGGGAGAACGAAAAGATCAGAGTCTTGGTGAGAGGACGATATGTTGTCCTTGATACTACCCTCCATTCAATTCAAAAAGAGAAAAAAAAAATTAAATTAATTAAATTAAAAGTAAAAATAAATGTAAAATTGTTCTAATTTGAATTATTTCTTCATATTGTCGATAACGAAATTTGAAATAAATAACATTACTTATATTTGATGGTGGATATTATATATGTATACAACCCCTAGCCATAGCTCAAATGGTCAATTAACAAAAAAAAAAAAAAAGGTTTATAAGTTTTGTTTTGCTAGCTACCGCGTAGTGTACAGTTCAAATCAAGGACCAGAGTAGCTAAGGCCGAAAGAAAAGAGAGGGCTTCTAAGCTAGTTAAGACACGTCTCGCAATTTACCTCATCCACTAATCTTTTATTCTTAAATTGAAATTCATAAATTATTTATATATATATATATATATATATATATATATATATATATATATATATATATATGCATGTATAATAACTATTCTTTATTATTCAATTACCATTCAATGTTAATTAAACTTTTAATGAGGAATTGAACGTGTCTAATCATGCAGTCATACTATCATATAACTAAACTTTTAAATAATGAACGTGGAGGCCGCCAACAAACATTTAATATAATTTATGTCCTTTCGCAACTAAAATTTATCAAATTTTATATTCTCGGATATAAATTTCGTAACATTGTAACTAACATGGGTGTATTCTTTTTTTTTTTTTTTTTGAATGCTACTAGCTCTATTACATTGTAGTATTTGTTTATATACTTTCTCAATCTACTGAAACACAGAGAGCTAATAACGCCTCCACTGAGGCTTGAACTTACAACCTTCCAAATGAAAGTCCAACCCGGATACCATTAGACCACATAGTCCTGGCAACATGGGTGTATTCAATCATGACTTTTGTAGAGTTTTAAAGACTTTTAAAATGATAGATTTTAATAAACTTTAATTGATTTTTATAGAGTCGTTCAAAATGTTTTAAAACTTTATAAAACTCTATAAAAGTCTATATAAAAAACATTCACGGACTTTTATCAACTTTTTATTTTAAAAAAATCTGCAAAATTCATTGAAATTCTAAATTTAATATATCCTTACAAACTTTTAATGATTTCGATTATTTATAATTTTCTTACAAAACATTTATAATATATCATAAAATTCTTCTTATTATATAATTTTTCACCCACATCAACATTCTTAACATTATTATTTTTATTCATAGTATGCTGAGACTTATATGCTAATTACTTATATATATTATTAATAAACATCAACAAAAAAAAAATATTTCATTAGAAATTCATAACAATATTGATAAAAAATTCATAGAAAAAAAATTAAAAATCAATATAAACAAGCAATAATGAAGTAAAAATAATATTATTTCAAATTTTTAAATGAAGATGGTAAAGTTTAGAAGAGAGAGAAAAATTGGTAGAGTTTAGGTATGAAGAAAATATATGATAATGAAGAAAAAAATAATTTTATTGAATTTAGATAGGTTTATAAAGTTTAAATAGGGAGAAAAATAGAGTTTAAATAGAGAGAGAAAATATTCAAAGTTGTTAGAATTTTTTTTTTTCAAATCTTGGGGTTGATGGTTGGATTTCAACTATTTATATTTGAGAAAGAAAAGTCTACAAAAAAATTAAAAAGTCTACAAAGTTCATAACTTTTTGAATACCACATGACTTTTAAAGACTCTTTAAAAGTCTTAATCGAATACCACATGACTTTTAAAGACTCTGATTTTATTTATTTATTTTTTAAATATGGCCTGGCCCGCGGGCCGGCCCGCAACCCGCGCAGGTTTGCCCGCGTGGGCTTTGGCCCTTCGCGGACCATGCCCGTTAGGCCCGTGTTTTCGCGAGCCTAATTTCTTGCTGCCCTAACCCGCCCCATTGCGGCGCGGGTGCGGACTAACCCGCGGGCTTCGGCCCACTTTGACACTCCTAGACTCTTTAAAAATCTTGATTGAATATCACCCGACTTTTAAAGACTCTTTAAAAGTATGAATTGAATACCTCCAAACTTTTAATAAAGTTAATAAAAGTCATTAAAACTCTATGAAAGTCATGACTGAATACACCCCTTAAGTCAATTATTATGAAAGATACAATAGCAATGAACTCGCTTAAAAAATATTGACAATAACAAATAAAGTCACTTGAAGAAAATATTGATAAAAACTAAATGTTGGTATATATTGTTGAGTATATAATACATAAAATATAAATACTTTGTCTAACTATCCACTTAATTTTTTTTTTATTGAAACGGAACACATGGTAAAATGGCTGTTAGCTGATAGCTGTTAGTTGTTAGCTGATTCTGTTAATTAGAGGGTATAAATAGTTGATAACATTGGCTGATTGTAGAAAAGTGTTTGGAAAATTAGCTGTTAGCTGATAGCTGATAGCTGTTAGCTGTTTGGTATAATTTCTTTTCTCAAAAAGCTAATTGAAAAAGTTGTTTGGAGTAACTTTTTGAACTTTAGCCTTAGAGTTCCAAAAAGCTAAATAACTAAACATTTATATTGATATTTTAACTAAATCAAACAATTAATAATGGTCAAATAAGCTAAAATTGGCCTATGGGTTAATTTTTTACCAAACACGGCCAATGTAATTTATATAACATATATGGAAATATCAGAGGTATTGAATTGAAAGCTAATAGGGATAAATAGATTGCAAAAGGCTAATATTATATTATTCCTAGGATTGGAAAGAATGCCCTATAATGCTAGAGATGCTATGAAGATTGTGTGACCAAACACCCTATTATTTTAATGCACATATAATCACTCTAAAGTGGAGAATAATCCTAACATTACCAGCTAGGAAAACTGGAAAAGGTATACAGCTTGTATCCTTGCACTAGGATTATTCACTCTTGCATGTAATATAATGTTATCATATTGGGATAAAGTATTAGACGTCTTCACATGTATTACTTCACCTACTAACTATTAACTAAAGCTCCATTTATAAATTAAAAAAAATAATTTCTAAAACATGATTTATTTTTTAAATAATATTTTTAATTTTTAATATTTGGTTGAAACTTGAAAGTTAGAAAATTATATTTTTTTATGTTAATTTATTTCTTAAAATGAATAGAAATATATTACAAAAATATTTATTACTCCTTTTGTCTGTCATGTTTACTATTCATTGGTCAAAACAACTTTATATTCCTTGCTTATTTTCTTTAGTTTTTTTAAATTTGATATTTTGTGTTTAATAGTATTTTTAATATAGATTCTAAATATATAAATTTTATATACTAATACTAGATTTAACATTATGAAAAATTGAATAAAATAATTTCAGTTAAGCCTCGTTAATCGAATCAGACACATAAAATGGACGAAAAGAGTATAAAATAATATTAAGGCCCTGTTTGGTAAATTGATGTTAGCTGATTGGGTTAGAGGGTATGAATGTATGACTAGTTGATAACATTAGTTGATTGTAGAAATGTGTTTGGTAAATTAGTTGTTAGTTGATAGCTGTTTGGTATAATTTCTTTTCTAAAAAAGCTAATTCAAAAAGCTTTTTGAATTTTAGCATTTTGGAGTTACAAAAAAATAATTAACCAAACACATATATTAATTTTTTTAACCAAGTCAAACAACTAATAGTAGTCAAATAAGTCAAATTTGGCTGATAAGCTAACTATTTTACCAAACATAGCCTAATGCATGTAACAACTCAAAACTAAAGGAATTGTACCTATATATATATATAGAGAGAGAGAGAGAGAGTGAATGAGTGTGAGAGAGAGAGAGAGAGAGAGAATTTTAAAAAATTTTGGACTGTGAAATGTGAATATAATTGTGTTGGATAAAGATTTTTGATTGTTTTGTCCAACCCAACAAGATCAATGTCTTCTAAGTAGTTTTGGAAGATATTTTATGTTAAAATTAGTTGTTTTTCCAATTCTTTTTCCTTTGACCATAATAACTTTTTTTATTAAATTTATTTTTCTTGAATAATCAAACATTGACTTTTAGAAGTCATTTTTTAAGTTTTCAAACGGTTCATAAATATATATGTATTTATTGAGTAACAATCTTCGACGTTTCTAATATTTTGATGAAAATACTAGGTTTGATATAGGATTATTATGTGAAGTTTTTAAATTACAATTCTACTTGATTAACTCAAGAATTCATGATGATGTTAATCAATTTATAGGTATTTAACAAATGTAAAGAGTTTTTTTTTTGTTTTTTGTTTTTTTTTTTGTTTTTTTGTTTTTTTTTTTAAATAAGGCAACTCATATATTAAATAACCATCAAATCCAAAATACAAGGTCGGAATATGATCCCAAACTCTAAGGACAGAAGAAAAATTAGTCGCCCGTGCAAACACATGAGTTACATGATTTGCTGACCTTTTGACATGGCGAACAACAACTTTTTCAATATCACTAGCAATAGACCGACATTGCTTAATAATAAGTCTAACATAAGAAGAGTCTCTACTAATAGAATTGAGATTAAAACTAAAATTTAAACAATCAAACTCAATAATATAATTATTCATATTACGCCCCTTTTAGCCACTTTAATGCTTCCTTTATTGCCATTGATTTTGCAAAATATGGATCACTCACAGCATGCAGCCATGTCGCGACGTAAGCCTCCTATACTTTTATTATAGTAAAAATACAAGTCGATACTTCAACTAAAAAAATATGTGTAATTAAGGGTTTAATATTATGACTTCCCAATTGTATGTAAGTTTCAAATTTTATTTTTTATTTTTAAGATGACGAGGGTGTGCATAAAGTATATTTTGTTTCATATGTAATAGTTTACAAATCACACAATACACTATAGAGAAAAATCACATTAGAAAAATTAGAGCTCGACTAAAAGAGTGTTAATATAAGAGGCTCTTTCAATACTAGTATGCATCGCGCAGAGAAAATACTAGTATTAATATAAGAGGCTCTTTCAAATTGGCACTAAAATGGGAATTCCAGCCCCAAGATTAATGCATTCGCTGCTTGTACCATGTGCTTTCTGCCTTGTGCTTGTAGTTCGACAAATTTCACTATGGACCATGATTTATGTAGTAATGTGGCCTATAAAGTAAGTATTATTCTAATTATACTTTAGTTTCATTTGACAATATTGCTTTGTTTTACAATTTCATTTTTTAGATTCACTAGTTTCATTATAACAATATCAAAATATCATTTTAATTCTACTACAGTTTCATTTGACAATATACATTATTGTATGAGCTCTATTTTATAGTTTCATTTTGCACACACACTAGTTTAATTATAATAATGCTAAAGTAGTGTTTTAATTACACTACTCTGTTCATTTGACAATATATTATTGTATGGTTTTGGATTCTAGTTTCATTTTACACAGATACTAGTTTTATTCTAAGAACATTAAAGTATCATTTTAATTATACTACAATTTAATTTGACAATATACGTTATTGAATGAGCTATGTTTTTCAGTTTCATTTTTCACACACACTAGTTTCATTTATACTAAAGTATCATTTTAATTCAAAAAAATTACTCTTTTTGTCCCTAAGTTATAGGGTAATTGTAGAATTTATCTCTGAGTGTTGGTCATGCTTAGTTTTCGTTTCTAAGTTATCATTGGCGTTGCACTATTCGTCCTTTTGTGCTCACTTTTCGTCCCTGATTTATACTAAAATTGCAAATTTCGTCCTTAATATTTTATTAGTAAAGAGAGACGAAAATTGTAACATCAATAATAAATTAGGGACGATGAGTGACTATGACCAACACTTAAGGACGAATTTTACAATTACTCTATAATTTAAAAACAAAAAGTACAATTTTTCTTTTTAATTTTACTACAATTTTATTTGACAATCATGATCCACATAGCACTATGGACCATGGTGCCTGTATAACAACCGTTGTAGTTCTTCACTGACTAAATCGCCCTTCCGGGCTTTTTTAAAAATTACATTCGCGTCCTCAATTCTCTGCCTTTTCGAATTACCTTTATGGCGCTTTCCCAATTATATTTCACCTACGTTACTTCGCATCCCGCCATTTTCCTCTCTCTACAGCCTTTCTCTACTCTTCAAATCGTTCATTCATGGAGATCGAAGCTCAATCGCAGAAATTGAAAGCTCCTTTTTAACCATTAATGGAAGGCAATTTTTAGTCCAAGTAAGGTATAGGCGCTCTCTCGATCTCTTAATTTCTCTCTTTGTAATGGAAGAAAATGGGCGAAATTCGGATTATGGTTCTCTCTCTGGAATCTGCAATCGAAGAGAAAGGCAAGCGATACGCTTTTACGCATTCATCATCAATGTAGATGTTTAGGTACGATGAATTCATAAGATTTAACTTCTTTTCCATTTTGAATTTACTTGTTGCCTTTCATGCATGACTTTCGGATCGCTCAACCTAGGTCTATGAATTGAAACCAGAAAAGAATAAAAAAATGATTTTATAATACTATAAGTTTAATTAACTAATCAATCAATTGAATTTTGAGGTAATTGTGAAATAATTTACTGATGTCTTGAGCTTTTGTGGAGAATTTTTTGAAGGGTGTAATTGTGTAAACGAGAGAATTATTAATAGAAATACAAGCAAAAATATTTATAAAGTGTATAATAGAGCTATTGATTGACTTGCTAATATGTTTCTCTAAATATGCTCGAGTTATTTTAGTGCTTGTTTTCTCTTCTATGGCAAATTATATTATGCACCGCGGTGCATAATCGATTATGCACCGCGCGTCTTTTTTTTAAATGAAAACTAACAGTATTTATTTCCGCCGTTTCGCACCCTTTTGCAAAAAGTAACTCTGTTATTCAGTGTCATTTTGTATACACTGCAGTTTCAGTTGAACACAACTACAGTTTCAGTTCGATATAACTATAGTTTCATTCGATATTTATAGACTCAAATATGTGAAAATGTTATTTAATTTTATTTTATATACACTATAGTTTCATTAAAACACAACTATATGATTATTTTGATATAATTACAGCTTCATTGTACAATATACACTCAAATATGTGAAATGTTATTCAGTTTCAGTTTATATACACTGCAGTTTCATTTCACTATAACTATAGTATCATTTTGATATAACTGCAGTGTCGGTTTGGATATACTGTAGTGTCAGTTAATGTTTAATACACCAAACAAACGGACTCCGTTAACACTAACGACGGGCCGTTTCTTTACTTAAAGAAACGGCGTCGTTTTTGACCGCGGTGCACATGCACCGCGGTCTATAATATAACGACTGCTCTTCTATGTTGCAACAACTAATTTTATTAGAAGATACTTTGAGGGTTTCTCACATGAGGAGGGTCACAAATCATTGTCCGCACGTGTTCAGTTGACCGTATTTGAGACAAGAGACTAAGGTTCGAAACTCGACAGCGACAGTGTGAGAAATTATGCTTAAAGTGGGTAGATCCCTTATGCGCACCAGTATTTTGTTCTGTCTACTGAGTCACTTAGTTACCGTGGCATATCTCTTGTGCGCACTAATAATTGGTCATGTCTACTGAGTCACTTAGTTACCGTGGCATATCTCTTGTGCGCACTAATAATTGGTCATGTCTACTGAGCCACTTAGTTACCGTGATTTACATATTTTTACATGCTCTGTGAGGTCATTTGGATGAATTCAAATGCACTATGACTGAATTTGTACGCATGGTATGGCAAATTGTCATGTTTTCTTACGGCCTGTTTGGTTGGAGGAAATTTAGGTATAGTTGAATTGCAATTCCGCGGAGATCACAATTACGCCGTTTGCTTGGAGGGAATTGCAATTCCCTCCAAATGTTGAATTACAATTCCAGACTCTCCCCTAGGAATTGTAATTCAGTGTTGAATTGGAGATTGAAAAGACATTTCTGTCCCTGACATTTATTATTATTAGTATATGAGCGCATTTCAATCATTGTATCACTTATTTCCTGTAATCTTATTTTGAATACCAAACACTGTAATTTGAATTCTTACTTTGTTCCTACCTTATTCTTTTCTCATTGAATTACAATTCTTTTCCACCCTAATTCATTCTTTTCAACGAAACGGTTTGTTATAGTTTTTCATGGTAATATTCTCTTCTTATTAGGTATTAGGTGAAAGAAATTTCCTTTGTTTTTAATTAGTTATAATCACATTAAGAAAATAATAATTAATTAATTGAAATAATTCATATATGAGTAATATTTTATTGTCATTAAGAATATTCCGTATTATTCAAAGTTTAGAGAGAGAAGGGGGAAAAAATAATTGTAGAAATTGTAGCAAAGAAGAGCTGGAGTGATGCATATACACGTATTGTAGTAAGATAAGAAAGAATCCAATGGAAGTGAAGATGGGGTGTGGGGCCCCATCAGCGGCAACAAATATTTGGGGATTTCGTGGCTGCCCTGACCTACCTGTCACTCTCTGGTTTTTTGTATGTCCTTAAATACATCCACGTCTTCATAATTCGATGGGGCCCTTTCCACATGCCCTCTTCCACTGCACGTGATCTCCGCTTAACACTTCCAATAAAACCCTTCCCATTGTTTGGTTCACGTGAAAATAAATTTTAGATGAAATTATAAAATTTAGGATCAACCAAGCATCTTGTCTTCAGATGATATGTAGTGATTTTTTCTATGTGAGAAGTCATGATATCGTTAGGTGGATAAAGTATGTTTGAACATATACTATAATGTAATAGAGTCAGTAGCATTCAAAAAATAAAATTTAGGATCAAATTTGTATAAGACCGTATAAATATATAATGAATCCTTTTTTTTTTTTTTTTTTGAAAAATGTATAATGAATCCTTATTCGTAAAACGGGTTGAGTCAGATTGGGTCAATATAAGAATATAATACTTATATTAAAACTATTTAATATTAATTTAGAATAAAATGCTTGTTACTTGTAAGGGAAAATGTATGGAGTAATACTTTTGAAGATAAATAACACTTTTACATTTGTATGAAAAAGTATTATATTTTCCTTTATAAATAATGTTGACAACTATTTGTTACTTAGGTGATGTAGTAAATACCCTTCATGTACATTGCGTGTATAGAGTATGTATGGAAACTGTATGAAGAATATAGAGTAAACACGAGAATTTAGCTCAAAAAGCATTGTTATAATTTTTTTTTTTTTTTTTTCATATTCTAGAGAGAAGGTAGATAAATAAAATGCCCAAAAGCTAACAAGAGAGAGTGTCGTGAAAAGGGAGAGACCGCTTCAACTTGTGAGTCAATAGCCCTTATATAGGTCCAAAGGTTGACATGTTGACTTTGACCTAAACCATTTAACCTTGATCCGACAACAAAATCAGAGCACAGACGTATATGGAAGTTAAAATCGGGATATATTCTCTATCAAAAGAAAAATATAATACTTTTGAGAAAAGTGTAATATTTTTTAATCAAAATATAAAAGTATTATACTGAGTACATTTTTTTTTTCAAAAGTATTATATTTCTCTATGTAAGCAATAAATATTTTATTCCTTATCAGTATTATATTTTTCAGTATAAGTATTACATTTGATCTTGACTTGATTTGTCTCATGAATAAGGATATCTAACACGGCCTCACACAAATTCTTGCTTAAATCTTAATATTTGAAGAAAATTATTTTATATATTATTTGGTCAATAGAAAATTTATTTCATGAGGGTTTGAATTCCTCAAAATTGTAAAAATATTTTATTTACTTTTTCTTTTTGGTATTCTTTTTTCACATACTTTAAAGAAAACTATTGAAAATGATTAGACAAAATTACTCCATACATCAATATTATAATTTTTTTTATGTAGGACATGTTAGTCATTATACTTATTATTTCTTCATAATTTTAAAGCAAATCAGACAATGAAATCAATATTACTAGTAATTTATTTTTCATCAACCAAACAATAAAATTAAAATTCTCAGTAATTTTTTACATAGAATTTAAATTTTATTCTTCTTCAATTATTTTCCACAAACCAAACAAACAATTATTTTTATTCTAAATGAAAATTTGTAGAGCGCAGCACCGAAACTGAAGTTGTAACACTAATGGCATGTTTGATTCATGAAATAGGTCAGGAATGGAATAACATTCCTTGGAATAGACCTATTCCATCGTTTGGTTGGATCATTTTGTCATGGGAATAGCATGCCTAGGAATGAGCTATTACCTTCGCAAGAGGAATAGCCATTCCTAGGGGGGGGCCTTGGTATTAGCTATTCCTATGCCCTTGGGAATAGCTTTTATATCACAAATATCAAAAATACTCTTTGCACATTATATAATATTTATATTTATTTAATAAATATAATGTATTATATAAATATATATATTTAATTAATTATAATTTTTATCTATCAATCTATCAATAAATATATATATTTAAATAAATTATCTGTGTGTGTATATATATATATATATATATACATATATATATATATATATATATATACATATATATATATATATATATATATGTATGTGTGTGTGTGTGTGTGTGTGTGTAAATAAAATAAAAAAAAATTAACTGTATAAGACTCCTTATTATGGAGCCTTGGCTCCTAAATTAAGTAGTCTGCCCATCTGCATGCTTAGCGGATGGGCATTGCAAGCTTGCCTAGCGGATGAGCATTGCAATTGAAATTATGGAACCTTGATGCTCATTTTATAGGAGCCTCAAGGCTCCATTCCTTACTTTTCCAACCGATGTGGGATAATTGAAAAAATAAATATAAATATAAATATGTATTTGTATAATAATAATAATAATAATAATAATAATAATAATAATAATAATAATAATAATAATAATAATAATAATAATAATAATAATAATAATAATAATAATAATAATTATTATTATTATTATTATTATTATTATTATTATTATTATTATTATTATTATTATTATAATTGTTATTCTCTCTCTCACACACACATGCATATACATGTATATAAATAAATAAATAAATAAATAAATATATATATATATATATATATATATATATATATATATATATATAGCATTCAGTATATCATAATCATATTCATCATCATCATCATTATTATTATTATTATTATTATTATTATTATTATTATGTATAAGGGTAATTATGTCTTTAAAACCTATTCCATTTCTATTCCTTTAACCAACCAAACACTGAAATACAATTACTCAAGTCTATTCCTTCAGCCAACCAAACAACAGAATACAATTCTTATTCTATTCCTTACATATTCCATTCCCTGTGGAATAACATTCCTATTCCCTCCAAATTCATTCCGTGAACCAAACGTGCTGTAAGGACGGTCAAGTAGGTGGAACAAAATTCTTGTATCAGAAGGTAATGAGTTCGTTTCTTGCCAATACTCTCTCGATTGAACCGTCGCACAAGATCTTCCTAGTGCGATTTATTTTTTCTATGTGGTTTGTATGTTATTACATATGAATGAAATTTATCGAGTGCATACTCTTAAATAAGGACTAGATGTGTTTAAAAAAAAAACTTTTGATAAAATTTCATTGCAAGAAACATTAAAGCCTTTGCTTGCGCTCTTATATTGGAGATTGGTGGAGGAGGCATCTCAGCTATTGTGATGATAATACATTCATGAATATGTGTGTTTAAATATATTCAATTTTAAGAGTGTGAAGTGAATGCCCAACTCATTTGTGATAGTGTAAAATTGATTGGGGTTACGACTATGCTACAAATACGTATATGGTGAACAAGTAGAATGACGCTTAGTTAGTCGGTCAATCGGATCGATAAGCTAGTCTGTCGGGTGAGGACTGAGTGGACTAAAGCTATGTTGTATTATGGAGAAGAAGATGAATACAAATGATATTGTGTTACACGGTAGGGAGTATCATTCTTTCGTCAACTTGACTTGGGACGATCTTTGAATCCACCATCTTATACTTAAGGAATCGGCTAACGACAAATATCTTTGCTTTAGCGTCATCACTCTTATACTTAAGGTCCAAAGATTCTCATAACTCTTTAGCTATTTCCAATTTACAATATACATTGTACAATGAGTCACACAAACTGTTTAATACGTAGGTTAGGCATAGGAAAACAAAATATTTCCAAGCCATCACTTCGCTAACAGTTTGAGCGTTAGACTCATGTTCCTTACCACTAGGAATCATCTCGGTCAAGAACCATGACATGCCGAGAATAACTAGGTTGAACTACATTTTAAATTGTCATCCTTTGAAATTCAACTCCTCGAATTTCCACGGTCTTTCAACCAAACCACATGGTACCGTCACAAGCACGTTCATCATAGGGATATACCCTTTGATGCTATCACCGGTCTCTGGACCAAGGTTCACCGAGGCTTCGGAATGTGCAACAATGTTTCCGCTCTGACCACTTGAATGTGCACCACGAGCAATTCAGATACATAACCCTCATAACAACAATTTTAATTTAGAGTTTAATTCTCAAAAAAAATTGGAATTAATTCCTAACAGATCAAAATTAACACTATCGAGAGTGGTACTCCGAAGATACTTCGAGCAGTACCCACGAATAGTTGCCTGAAGGTTACATAAGAATAATCAATTTTACTACTTGGTCAAACTAGGTCTCGGACAGTGACTCTGCGTAAGAAAAATTTGACATAACTTAGCCGGCGTACACGAGTCCAGGGGTGGAG